ATGGACTGAGGAATCGCTACACAATAATGAACTCAGATGGGACGCACTACCTATATGAGATTCTTGTAAAAAAAACTATATCATGAAAGTTTATGTTATTGATGAGTGAAATTGTAAGAAGACATATTATGCGAGATTCAAGTCCTTATCTATAGTACTTACAATCAATAGGTTTTGGTTCTGCATTATCTAATAAAAAAATGTAATTGTTTTTTTTTTTTGGTAAAATTGATTGGATTCAACTGATTGACGGAAAAATAAGTCTAACACAGAGCCAAACTGGTTTGAATGTCATTTTAAGTCTACTATCAAACATTTAACATTAACTTTGGATACCTATGGTTGAATACAATGCGGAACCTAATACTTCCAGCAACCCAATATCATTCTAGATACAATTGGAGATAATCGTTATTAATATTAATCTAACATAGATTTTTATGACTTTTAAGCCATGTTAATGACTATAACAGTGAGTTGAGGAAAAATAAGCAAGAATTTTTTTTACAAGAAATACTAAATCCTTTTGAGGCATTTCCTCAAACACATACGGATTGATTATTTGAAGGTTGATCTCATCTCCGGTTAGACCTGCACCTGAAAAAAGAGAACAACTTAGAACTTGTAGGAAAAATAAGAGTGAGAAGTTGATCATAATTCAGGGATTACTAACCAGACCCAATTAGAATACATTAACTAATTTGATAATATAATTGTTATAAATGAATTAATGATTAATAAGATATTGAAATCAATTTGATCCGTTGATTTATAAAAAGATTCGAGCTCATGTTTTCTTAGATGATATCTTGAGGGTTTTATCTAAGAGCATCTTCAATAGATTCTTCAAAACAGAAAAAACCGAGATCTTCATTCTACATTTTGCTCAAACATATTTCGTTTACTGTTTTTTTTTTAAATAGAGACCATTAGAAAAAGGGCAAATTACATGAAAAAGTAACGTACTTTAACTTGATTCCTATTTTGGGTAACGTACTTTCAAAACTTTCATTTTGGTACCTATTGATAGAGCAAATTGCATGAAAAAGTAACGTACTTTAACTTGATTCCTATTTTGGGTAACGTACTTTCAAAACTTTCATTTTGGTACCTAAGATATAAAGTTGTAAACATTTAAGTACCCGGGTAACCCGGAAAGACTAATTTTAGACTAAAAAAAGACTAATTTTAGATTTTAAAAAATCCACGTCACTGACTACGTCAGCAAATAATACTGAGTTTGATACCACATCACTCGCCATATCAGCATGATAATCGGTTAATATTTCAACCAGTTACCCGGGTACTTAAAATGTTTAAAACTTTACATCTTAGGTACCAAAATGAAAGTTTTGAAAGTACGTTACCCAAAATAGGAATCAAGTTAAAGTATGTTACTTTTTCATGCAATTTGCTCTATCAATAGGTACCAAAATGAAAGTTTTGAAAGTACGTTACCCAAAATAGGAATCAAGTTAAAGTATGTTACTTTTTCATGCAATTTGCTCTATCAATAGATATCAAAATGAAAGTTTTGAAAGTACGTTATCCAAAATAAAAATCAAGTTAAAGTACGTTACTTTTTCATACAATTTGCCCTTAGAAAAATCTCTAAGTTTAAGAGATTCTTGAAAACCTGATGAGTGGAGAGAGAAATTAGTATTTTATTGATTCTCACCTATTATATTGAATTATTATTTTATATAAATCATATTTAAAAAGTGTATTATAATAATAAATTTGTAAAATATTTTAATAATATAATGAACGTAGAATTCTCTAAAATAGAGAATTAGTTGGAGTTACATGTAATTGTTTTAAAAAATTGACTTTTAGTTCTTTATTTTAGAGAAATTATCAAGAATTAGAAGAATACTCGCACAATACAACAAGATATATCTTGATTTTAATATTTTATATTATTTTTTATCTCACTCAATGTTATAATATGATCTTATGTGATTTTGAGAAAGCGATTATGTTTTTATTTTTGAATAAAATATAAATTTGAAGATATCATAAAAATTTGACAAAAATGTATCGATATTAGTATCAAATTAACTATTTAAAATTCCTCATTTTTTGTGTAATTTTTTAATTCAATTTTTTTATTATAATTTAATTTTGGTTCAATAACGAATTAATTTATATTTGGTTTAATAATATAATTTTCTTATAAAGATAATAATTAATTATTTTGTTAGGATTCAAAATTTATAAGTTTATTTATAGGTTTGAACTCGAGATTGATTATATTTTTTTTTTATAGAACTAAAGCTAATTTTAATTGTATGATTTATAAACTTACGGACATATTCAACTGGAAAAAATGTATACTCATATGTTTCGGCATAACTTATCCCAAAAAGTTTAATCGAGATTCCGAACAAAGTGAGTAGGTAATTTGTGTTATAAAAGTTGACCATGCATTTGGTTGACATAAGTTAGAATAAAATATATGAAAGGAATCGGAATATGTATGTATGGTTCGCTAAATATAACGTCGAAATTATAATAAAATAATGATAAATGATAATTATACCATTATACCATTTTGACATTTTCATATTTTACTGGTAAAATTATAAATACTGTATAACGATAAAATTATGATACATGACATCCATTTGCGACAACAGAGATGGCGATGGAGGTGGTGATTGGTGGTGGTGACGATGGCCAATGATGGTGTTGGTGGTGATGATTGTGACACTGGTGGAGATAACCGACTTCGTGAGAAGGAATAAATTATTTTAAATATAATGACATAATAGTCTTTATCAAAATGATGAAAAGGAATAAGAATTTTTTAGACAAAAAACCGAAGGAATTATTCCAGTATATATAAAAGCAGCAAAACTCAAAGGATGAATAAAACACATAAATAAAATTAACCATTCCAATTTTTAGGATAAAATCTAAGAGCATCTCTAACAGATTCTTTATACTTTCTCTAAAATAGAGAACTAAAAGTAAAAACCTGTAAATATTTTAACATTTATTATATTATATTATATTTACATGTAACTCCAATAAATTCTTTATTTTAAAGATTTCAACATCTATTATCTATATCTATATTATATTATAAAACATTTGACAAAAACTCTTAAAAATTATTTTTTATGTTTGAAGTACTGATTATTGATGCATATTATTTAAAAATCAAGATTACAAGTAATTTTGCGTAAAAACAACTTATTAAAACTCCATCTTTAAATTCGTGTAACTAACTACTGACAAACATAATCTAATACAGGATAAACATGTATTTTAAATATATAAAATCTAGAATATAATTAAGATAATTTTTGAGTTCTAAAAGAATATTTAATTAATATATTTATAAAAAATTATATTATTAAACCAAAAATAAATTACTTTGTTATTAAATCTAAATTAAATTATAATAAAAAATTGAATTAAAGAAGTTACACCAAAAAAACGAGAACTATTAAATAGTTAATTTGATACTATCATCGATTTATTTTTGTACAAATTTTTATGTTATCTTCAAATTTATATTTTAATTCAAAAATAAAAACATTACTGCTTTCTCAAAACCACATAAAATCGTATTATATCGATAGAGACAAAGAATAACAACTAAACATTAAAATTGAGATTTATCTCGCTGCATTGTACGAGTACCCTTCTAGTATTGTTAATATCTGATAAATTTATCATCCCAATATACTTTAAAAAAATTATATTCAATAATTATAATTTAATCTCATTAGTGTATTGAACTTTTTTTTTTGCACATATCAAATTTTAGAGATTTTTTAAACTTGGAGCTCTATCTGATTTTTTTTTTCTATTTTAAAGAACAATATAAAAAATCTCTTGAAATTAAATAAAAAACAATGATGAATATTAATTACGTTTTTTATACGTTGTTAAATGCATCCCTATCTAATACTTTTCTTCTCACATATATCATAATCAAAATCCACTTTTTACATTACTAATATATAATTTGATATAATTTTAATATTAAAACGGGATACAAATGACATTACCCAAAAACCCAATTTTAAAAAATCTATTTAATATTTCGTAATTTCTTTAAAATAATATTATATAATTTATATCTATATTATCTTATAAACCAAATTTATCAAAAGTCTTAAAAACAATTTTTAATGTACAAACGACTATACATTTATACACAAAGTCTTGAAAGTCTTAAAAACAACTCATAATGCATTAAGTAATATTACTTTATGCATTCAGTCTTAAAATCTCTTAATCTACAATTAAAATAACATATAGTACAAGTTACCAATGCATATTATTATCTTTTCTTTTCATGTTCCGAAGATACTTTTGTTACATTTCACTCATGCCTTTACTCTCTCATACCTCTATGTCTTCTTCCCATCCCCCAATGTGAGATTCAAACTGATATTCACTATGAGTTATTAAAAGTTTTCTCATTCATCACTCTAGAACTCTCGGTCTCGTTATCGATCTCTTGATTCTTTGCTCTTGGTGTAAACCGAATACATTTATGAAGTCGTTTAAATATGTTGGATTTTAAATATATTGAATTTTAAACTGTCATACAATTTTTTCCATTAATAGACTGTAATTTAAACCATAACTCTTATTTATTCAAATTGTATTAATATGTAAAGACTAAGTATAACTTATATGACCGTTAAATCTTCTCTAATAAAACCAGTAAAACTTCAAAATCGTTAAAATTCATGGCTCTCGTTGCATTGCACGGGGTACACAACTATATATATTATTTTAAAGTTAGGTTTTTTCTGAAATAAAAACCAAAAGCTTGAGTGGACAAAATGAATAAATAATTTATTTGGGATCATGACATCATGTGCTACCATTTTCATTCGAAGGGACGGATTAGTAATAATATCTGTTACAGTCACACACACAATTTATATACTGTTTGTCTTATATATATATATATATATATATACATACACATAGGATATATCTATCTATATGTATCATAGTGTGTATATAAAACTAGTATTTTCAGAAGGAGGTGTGGTCTTCGAATTCGATTCTTCACATCAATCAAGAAACGGAAGTTAGGGTTTTGTTTTCACAGATTTATCTCAGTTTGCTACTTGTTGTATTGGTTAAGAGTTCAAACAGTTGAAAGTTCTTCATAAACTCAATACAGGTTGGTTCAAATCCTTCAAAGTCTGTTTTTTAGTTTTTAAATTTGTTCCAATTTGAGGTTTCTGGGTATTTTGCGTCGATTCCTGTTGTTCTATGATAATTTGAATTTCTTTTACTGGTTCTTGTGATTTTTGTGCAACAATCTGTTCTTGTTGTCTATATATTCTCTGCTTTGAATTGAGTTTTCAATAAGGATTTATTTGATGCATGATGTTTTGTTTAAGTACCCATTGACTTGTTTCAGATAACTGCAGCTGATGAAAAGTTGACTTGTAGATTAAAAAAAATGGAGATTAGAATTTGGTGATGTTCATGATGGGTGATATTAGGAAGCATGGATCTGTTTTGTGTTAAATGCTACGCTAAGTCGCTGGATTCCAGCTGATTCGTTCTTGAGATATTCTGTGATTATATCAAGTTGGAATAAATCAGAAAAACTTTATAGAAAGTTAATATTCAAATTCTGTTCTATATGTCTATGTCCTTATTGGTTATCTTGCCTTCAAGGTTTCTTTTTCTCTTAAGGTCTTGTTTTGGTGAATTTGTCTATGCTCCGTGTCTGTTCGTCTCTATAAAAACGTCCAAAAGTGTAAAAGTTGTGACCCTCCATGGTAATAATTAAAGATATATGGTTGATTTTGCTTTCAGGTTTGTAGTTTTGCTTTAATGATGCGGATGTTATGCTAAAGTTTAAGCTCATTGAGTTTCATATTCATTCAACTGACCAAACAGCATGAATTCCTCGTCCACTCAGTATCTCAACTCGAAGAGGATGGATGTATATGAGCCGATGCACCAGTTTAGCATGTGGGGAGATTTCAAAGGCAACATTTATCAGGATGCATCTGCAACCATGATTATAGAGGTGGATGCAAAGCTAGACAACCAGGTACACATTTGAAATGATCCCTTCCTGGCCTCTTCAGTCCCCTTGTTCCTTTTTGCTTGCAAGTGTTGATTGCTTTCCTGAGAGTACTTGGCATAATTTTGATGCTGTTTTATTAGTCAGAGGATACTTCACACACAACAATTGGACCTTCGAATCAGTGTGATCAAGAAGCAAGCAAACCAGGTGATAAGGTACAAGACGTTGCATCTTTTTCTTTGACTTCTTGCTGTCAATCAATATTTGAAGTCTCGCTGTTTAAGGATCCAGTTATGGTTGTTCTTACTTGTGTTGAAACATTTTAGAAAAGGGGGAATGATCTTTCTTTAGGATGTCTGCTTTATGGCCGGAGATAGATTAGTTTGTGAACAATGTATCTCTTGCAAGGATATAACTAACTGTCCTCTGTGTTGTGCAACCCTGTTGCAGGCAGTTTCTGAGGATAGTCAGTTGAGCGTGTTAGCATATGTGAGTCATTTATACATGGTATTCATATATAACAGTGACATCAATGCATTTTTCGGGATTATTACAAGCAATTAATGTAGACATTGACGATGTCCTATGTCTGCAATTGTGTGGGGTTGAGGAATATCATCTCCTTACATCTTATACCGACACCCCACAGCATCTTTTTTTGCATGAGTAAGATCTGAATGTATAACAATCACCTTTTATTGGTATGATTTCATAAATAAAAGTTTGAAAGTATACTTAAAAAGTATAATACTATAGCCCTACATCCAGAATGGAACAAGTTTAACATTTTTGTATCAGCAAGTGCAGCTTGTCATAAGTCATTGGTAAAATCTTACACTTCCAATTAACAGTATTGGCTTCCAGTGGCTATATGTAGAAGAAGATACATGTTTCCCAATGTTAAAGTACCATTCCTTCACATGCCTTTCATTAATTTCAATGTAATATTCACAAGAGAGAACTCAAACTTTCGGTTTGTTGAAGTATGGTGCATCAGCAACATGAACATATGTAATACAACTATCAAATGGAGACAAGAAGAACAAATTGGATGTATTCTGGAAGGCCAAGTATCAGGCATACGCACTATCAAAAGATTGCATGAACTGGCCTATATTATACATATCACCATCATCTTTATTTTGATTGGTATGATTATTTTATTTTTAGGTTACTAGAGGTAGTAGCAATTTTCTTCTTATGACCCTTGCATGTTCTATCATTTTGTGAGAAAACTTAATCTTATTGGATGTATTGGCATGCAACTTTTTGCATCTATGTTATTAGTATTTCGTCCCCCTTTTTGATCTTGTTGACGGTGGAATTAGAAGTCTGCAACCTGTTATTTGAATATGTATCAATAGGTGAATGTATGGTTGTATATTAGTTTCTGATGCCCTGACAATTGTAGACTTGTCGTACATTCTTGTGTTGATGACAAAACATTTCAATCCGTGTTCATACTATTTTATTTTAGTTACCATTCATTCAAACTTCTGGTGTAGTTTTCAATAAGTGAAGTTGTAATGTACAGGTTCTGAGACGTCTTGCACAAAATCGTGAAGCAGCTCGTAAAAGTCGTTTGCGGAAAAAGGTAGGGTACTGATGAAGCTGAATCCTGGATGTGAAAGATAAATCAATTAATTTAGCATTCTCGGAACTTCCTTTTATTGTAGGTTTAAAGTTAAACTTTGATTCTTCTTTACGAATATATGCATTAACTAATAATGTTTGAGCATTTGTCTGCTGCTTATTGTAGGTTTTGAAGTTAAACTTTCATTCCATTTTTACAAAATATGCATAAAGTTATAAATTTTTTACAAATGGTTTGAACACCATCAAAAACATTTAATATCCCAAACATCTATTTCCTCTCTACGATACGGTTTCTAAAGACAAAACTAAATCAATCATGGAATGCCAACAACTATGTTGTTATACGGTTGGGACCGATATTTGAAATAGCGGTATAACGGTCCGAAAATAGCGGTTGATATAATATTTCTTAGCATTATATATAATTATATATATAATATGCCTACATAAACATATCATTTGCAAAATAGGAAAAGTGTTCAAAAACGAGCTATTCACAAGCAATAGGTTCAACATCTGAGTCAACATCATCTAATACGTTCACTTCTTCGTCTAGGCTAGCTTCCCACTGATATCGAGTCAACATCTGAGTCAACATCTGAGTCAACATCATCTAAAGCCCAAGACTGAAAATAAAGCCCAAACCCACCAAAAACTAACGTTAATATTGAATGCAATTTACTCTAAATATCGGTCAAAATTGCGGTAAATTGCGCCGATAATTGCGCTACCGCAATTTGACCACCGATATTTTGCAAAGGACCGCTATCCAAGATATCGCTGAAATAGCGGCGCTATTGTGCCGCAATTAACAGCATAGGCCAACAGACCATGTCCTAAATCTCTTTTATATCAACTCCCCTAACTATGAAGACTGAATCTTGTTTTTTAGGCCTATGTTCAGCAGTTGGAAGTTAGTCGTCTGAAATTGCTTCATCTCGAACAAGAACTTGAACAAACTAGGGCACAAGTAAGTGAAGATTGACTTCTTATTTGTGCGTTATTACCTGATACTTATCTTTCCATAGCTTGTTTATATCAATGATATATAGTGAGCCAAAATTAATTTCTGCAGTGTGCTTTAATGAGTGGTGGAGTCAATGTGTGTCATCTTGGGTTCCCTGGAGGTGCAAACTCAGGTAATTTGTGCAAAGTACATTTTTTCAACACTTCTGATTCTGTGAAGTTGCTGTTTTTACTGTTAAAAATCTTTGTAGCATATGTGCATGGAAACAAGTCAACAACTTATGCATCTTACAAGTATTACTAGTAATCAGCCTCTAATACAAGGTGACCTGGTGCATTAGGGTTCCTTGGCTTTGCATGGGCTGGGGAGGGAAGTCTTTGTATGCAACCTTTCTCTTGCAATTTAACAAAGAGGTTGTTTCCGTGACTCATACCAAAATCTTCTGTTCACAAAGGAGTAACCTTATCAGTTGGTCCAAGTGCTCCGACCTTTGATACAAGCCCATTTAATACAAGTCCCTTGAAAACCAGAACATGTAAGATTACTGCCGTTTCCATTTGCCATTTTCAGAAAGTATTTCTCCAAAATGGTGTATAAGTAACATGTGTTGTTTATTCTAGATGTATTTTGTTTTTATATGAATTCAATTTGCTGCATTATTTGAAAGACAAAAACATGGGGGGGTTCATGTTCCTTTTTTTTTTCTTTTTACGTTCTTGTGGGTCTGATATTTACCATAAACAACTTATTTAGAGAAAGGTTATCGACAACCTAGCTGATGAATACAAGTTTCATGTATTTTAAAACCATAAATGCAAGTTTCTGTGTTTCTAATGCTACCAAGACATGAATTAAAAGGAAAATTATACATGTGCTGACTTTTGATGGATTGTGATATCTTATTGAAATTCACAGGGCAGTACCAATTCAGTACTTTTACATTGCCATGCCACATCAGTCTTTGCTGTAATTCTATATATTATTAAGTCTTTACTTGTAATGGAGCTAAGGTTAATAATAAAAAAATGCTGCTTTTAGTGGTGTTTATGCAGTTTCAGAAAACTGGTTAACTGTTATCTGGAAAATATTAATCTAATCCTTGCATACTTCTAGATTTTATTTGTTTTGTGCTTTCTGAGATGCATGCTATTCAGAAAAAAGTTCAATGCAGGGATAACTTTTCATAGATTTGATCATTGCACCTTCTTTATTCCACCCTTCTAGGATAAATGCACTTCCACTATTCTGAGATCAATGTTCTTTTGGGTCTCATTTTAGCCTACCTATCATTTTAGCCTACCTAAACACGTTTTGGATAAAAGGCTTCATGTTAAAGCTATCTGAAAGGAAGTTTAAGAATTAAGACCAGTAGCATGATTTGGTTTGCAACTGAAAATCCAGACAATTCTCTTGCTTTGCTCCGCTTATGAATATTGTTGACACTTCTGCACTTCAGCAAAATTTATTTGAAAGTAAGTTTCTTGGTATAGGTGTGTTTGGAAGTCAATTGTTTGAAGAAGGATGATTACTATGCAAGAGTCTTTTTTATGCGTCGCACCTCCTCTGGACCTCTTTTATGGTAGAAGTCAGGTCTGCGTACGTCTCACCTCCTCAAGTGGGATTTACTGGGCCTGTTCTGTTTGGTTTGGTTTTAGTCCTTTTTTCATGCATAATCACAAAAGGCATGGCTTGTTCTGTTGATTTGCAAGCATTAGTTTTAATTATCAATTATGGCTCTGTACTCATCAATTTTAAGATGCCTTCCAACTACCAATTATGCTGCTGCCAAAAAAAAAGACTTGCACTTTTACACTATATATTTCTTCTATCAAGTTCTTGTGAACTAAAGGCATTTCAGTAACACCTGCAGGAATAGCTGCATTCAAGATGGAGTATGAGCGGTGGGTTGAAGAACAAAATAAAAAAACTAATGCTTTGAAGACAGCATTGCATTCTCCTTTGCCTGATATGGAGTTGCATATACTTGTTGACGACACCATGAACCACTATGCCAATCTCTTCACCATTAAAGCTAATGCAGCAAAGGTTGACGTCTGCTATCTCATATCAGGCGTGTGGAAAACATCAACTGAACGTCTTTTCTTGTGGATTGGAGGCTTTCGCCCTTCAGAACTTTTAAAGGTAATGTCTGGTTCAGTTAGATTGATATTAAAAAATCAACTTAAAGACTTCTTTTATGTTATCAAGGAATATGATAGTATGTTTTTCCACTTACATGCATGATCTATGTTGGCCAAGAAGGATGCTTGAATTAGTGGAATATATTTTATCTTTGGTTGAATATCACCTTTTCCTTGTAACCGTAGGATCTCCTTATGTTTTGCAAGTCCTGCATCATTTTGTTGTCAGTGGGTGGTTTGGTTAGTGCTTATTCCATCAATCAATAAAGTTATTTTCCACTTTCACTAAACAACCAACTGTTGCAGCACAGTTCTCAATTTGATCGCATGTCACGTGTACCTATCATGAGTGCTGGTCTATTAGATAATACCTTACTTTGTCAATTCTGATTGTTTTTAACTGAGTGCATCTTTTTAGTATGGATGGTGTTTTCTCTTGCATGTTATTCCATCTTCAAGAAAGTCCTTCTCAGGCAATATGAAAATCCATTCAATGCTACGAGCCATGTTTCTGCACTTCCCATTTGCCGGCCCTCATGAAAGTACCAAAAATTTGGAACATCGGTGACCTGAACCTGAATGTTCATGCACTAATTCTGCCACAATGTTATTATCGTACACGATAAACATTAATCATGACTTCACTATTGAACGTACCCCTCGTGTTAAAGGTTCCAAATAGTAAATTGGGTGACATGACATGCCCAAACTTTGGCCGTGCTTATCTGCGCTCAAATGTAAATATGTGATCATTATGTCATGATAAGACTGTGCTTCTACTTGTAGGAATCACATTAGAATTTCAGTTTCTTTATTGACTAACAAAGTGTGGCATAGAGGCTGAGCAAGCCTAAGAATTTTACCTGGATACAAATATATTTTTGTCTATTACTCTTCAACTATGGAGTTGCTTAGGGTAGTCTTTGGTCTAAATTGCTAAAGCCAGCTGTTTGATGTTCTTTATAGGTTCTTGTACCACAGCTTGACCTCTTGGACCAGCAATCTCATGATCTCTCTAACCTTATTCAAGCATGCCAGCAAGCTGAAGATTCTCTCTCACAAGGAATGGAAAAACTTCAGCAAACTCTGGCTGAGGCTGTGGCTTTTGCTCATGCTTTGGGAGGAGGTTGCTATGAGATGACTAATGCAATGGATAAGTTAGAAGAGCTAGTAAGGCTTGTTATCCAGGTAATATATCATGTTTGCGTGCTCTGTGTCTCAGTTTTGACATATGCTGATCGATGTTTGGTTATTCTCAAAATTTGGTGCTCTGTCTATCATGTGTTATACTTGGTTTATCTACATCTATTTTCAAAGTGGTTATTTATCTATTAGGTTATAGTTATATTACTGTTATGTAGCCCAACTAAATTGTTTTCCAATGTTATAACTGAATGAAATATTGTCGTCAGGATTACCAATTGTCACTTCTGTTTCCAGTAGTAGCTTCTGTTGTAATTTGACTAACAGCTGATTCAAAGCTTGCTTGTACCTTCTTTCAAGAAAAAATATAATTGCTTGACTTTAGTTTATACGTCATGTTCTATTCAATTAGAAAAGAAGGATTATTTGATTGATAGGAAATACAAACCATAAAACACTTTCTAAACTATTTTTATTTGCCACATAAATGAATAAAAAATCAGAATAAGTTTCCAATCCCTACCCTTCTTACCTCCATTAAGCGATCTCTATGTATGCCACATAGGTCAATGATGAACAACTCCCTTTTCTCCTATCAAAAAATCAGGATTATACTTTTTGAGAGTGATAAATAGTAGAGCGAGAGAGAAAGATGGTGAATTTGTTAGAGTTAAGTCAGTCCAATCATCAGTGTGGCTGCACCTTACTTAATGGATATGTTGGTATCTCTTTCAGTTTTGCTTGCCTTTGTTCATGTGCACTTTTGATGATACAGAGTTAGAATACGTTCCAATACACAATTTGTTTTATGAGGTTTTTCATCTGTATCTTTTTTAGTATATATGTAATTTCTATGTACTCTTTATTTATATGCTAAGCCAAAGGCTCTTTGGTAAGAACATGCTTGATGGAATATGTGGAAATCCCGTTATGATTTGCATATTATGATATTATTGCTTAGTATATATAGAATACAACGTTACAAAGGGGTCCCTATACTATACAGATATAACAAATAAGAGAGACAAAAATACATGCTTTAACACACCCCCTCAGTTTGAGCAGGAGGTTGACGAATGCTTCAACTCTTTCTGAAGTCTAAAAATAACTGTGCCGGTAACCCCTTTGTAAAAATATCTGCAAACTGATGAGCCGAAGGAACGTGCAACACATGCACATGTCCAATCGCAACTCGTTAACTAAAAAAATGTAAATCTATTTCTACATGTTTGGTTCTTTGGTGTTGAACTGGGTTAGAAGCTAAGTACATGGCACTAACATTGTTACAAAAAACAACCGTCGTACGTGAAAGAGGACAAGATAGCTCAAGAAGAAGGTTGCGAAGCCAAGTAGCTTCAGCAATGATATTGGCTACCCCCTGTACTCGGCTTCAGCGCTGGAACGGAGACAACATGTTGATGTTGGAAGACCACAACACAAGATTGTCACCAAGGAAGACACAAAAGCCAGAGGTCGACCGACGTGTTTGAGGACAGCCAGCCTAGCCAGCATCGGAATAAGAAACCAACCTATCAACGGATGACGGACGAATATGAAGACCATGTGAGAGCATGCCGTGTAGGTAATGGAGAATACGCTTTAGGGCTAGAAAGTGCGGTTCATGAGGATCATGCATATAAAGGCAAATTTGTTGGACTGCATATGCAATATCAGGATGAGTGAAGGTTAGATATTGTAGCGCCCCTGCAAGGCTTCGATATAAAGTAGGATCAGCAACAGGCTTTCCTTACGATGAAAGCTTTGGCTTAGTGTCCGTCGGAGTGCTGCAAGGATTGCACGTTTCCATGTCAGCACGAGCAAGAATCGCCTTGGCAAAGGAGGTTTGGGACAGAAATAGGCCATTTGCATGGCGAGTGGCGGCAATGCCAAGGAAGAACGTGAGGGGACCAAGGTCAGTCATAGAGAACTTGGAAGAGAGACGCTCAATGACCCTGGTAATAAGAGAAGAAGAGGAGGCCGTGAGAATGATATCATTAGAGGAGAAGGTAGATGGTTTCTGAACCAGAGTGATAAGTAAAGAGAGAGGTGTCTGAGCAACTGCTGTGAAAGCCAATAGAAGAGATGTAGACGGCAAAGCGCTGATACCTGGAGGTTGTTTCATAAGGTGTCTGAGCCTGCTTGAGTCCATACAAAGCTTTACGAAGGCAATAGACATGGTCAGGAAATTGAGAATGAACATAACGTGGAGGTTGTTTCATATAGACCTCGGTAAGATCACCATGGAGGAAGGCGTTTTTGACATCTAGTTGATGAATTGGCTAATGGGGAGAAACGGTAATGCTAAGGACAATATGTATGCTGGTAGGTTTGACAGCGGGGCTGAAGGTGTCATCAAAGTCTAGACCAGGTTGCTGAGAGAAACCTTGTGCAACCAAACGACCCTTGTATCGTTCTAAGCGACCATGACTGTCAAACTTGTGACGATATAACCAACAGCAACCAACAATGTTGGCATGTGGAGGTCGTGGAACAAGATCCCATGTGATTGGAAGAGAGAGCAGCCATTTCCGAGTCCATGGCAGCTTTCCAATTAGAGTCGCACATTGTCTGAGCAGTGGAGCGTGGAATAGGAGAAAATTTGGAAGAGGCGGAAAGATTGAGGATCTGAAGAGTCTTTCTCGTGCGAGATCGTGTGACCACAAGATGACCAACAGGAGCTGTGGGAGAGGGAGGGAGAGGTTCGGTCACCAAGGGGGAAGAAGATGGTGTTGGGAGTGTCAGGGACCGGTGATTCGGTAGAGGTGACGTGGGGGGGAGTGGGTAGAGAGATGGGAACAGAATCCTCTTCAGATATGAAGATATTGTAGTCTAAAGTGATGGGAGGAGCATGAAAGTCTGAAAAAGGAAAATAATCTTTATCAAAGACAACATGTCGTGAGATAATGACTTTCTGTGGGATGAGATCCAGACATCTATACCCACGATGGTCGGGAGACGGTCCAAGATATATACATGCAGACGAGCGAGGTACTAGTTTATGAGCAGCCATGGAAGAGGTGTTAGGATAACATAGGCAACCAAAGACCCCAAGATGCGAGTAGGAGGGTAAGAAATCGAAAAGCATTTCAAACGGTGTTTTGAACGAGAGGGTAGAGGTAGGTAGAAGATTTAAGGTATGAAGAGATGCCTGAAATAGGTAAGTGCGAATGATGTTGTTTATGGTGCGAATGGAGCGTTTAACTTTTCCATTTTGTTGAGATGTGCAAGGATAGGAAAAATGAATTTTATTACCATTAGAGTTGGAAAAAATCAAGTAAGGGTTGGTTATCAAATTCGCATCCATTATCACATTGGAAAAGTTGAATGTCAGTTTTAAATTGGTTTAACACATACGCACAAAAATTCTTAAAGACAGAAAAAACATCAGATTTAGCATGTAAAGGAAACACCCACAAGAAATGAGAATAATCATCCAAAAATAAGATATAATATTTATAGCCACTAATGCTCACAACTAGAGAAGTCCATAAATCTGAATGAATTAACTCAAATAAACGAGAGGTTTTTGAAGTAGAAGGAAAATAAGATAAGCGACAATGTTTGCCAAGTTGACACACATGACACGTGGATAACTTATTTGCAATACTGGAAATAAATTTGTGAGACTGTAAAAATTGAAGAACGGAAGAACTAGGATGGCCAAGACGTCGATGCCAGGTAGGAAGCGACACAGAAGTATGAGCAGTGGCAGAGAGGGAAACTGTGGAAGACAGAAGAATCGGGTACAAATCACCAACACTGTCACATCGTTGAATAATAGTACCTGATTTAAGATCCTTGACAGCGAAACCGAAAGGGTCAAATTCAACAGAAACGGAGTTGTCTATGGTGAACTGACAACCGAACACGAGATTTTTAACCATTTGGTTAGAAACGAGAACATTATTTAAAGCAAGACGATTGTTGGAGTGAGGAAATTTTTTTTGGCCAATACTAGTAACTGGCAGTAAAGCACCATTACCAACCATTATGGATTCAGAATTACAAGGTGATAGAGAAAGCATGTTACCTTGATTGAAGGACATGTGCAAGCTTGCTCCGAAATCCATGTAGTAGTTGTTGTCTTGTGGTTGCTGAATGGACATAGATTGGAACATCGAGGCAAGATCGGTAAATTGTGGTGGACTTGGTTGAGCTGCTACATGACCCCCAAATGATGATTGGGCCGAAGAGTGATGTGGGGCCGGAAAAATAGGTCGAAATTGCCAATAACTGAGCTGTCCAAGTTGAGCCGTAGAAGGTAGTGCGAGAAAATGTGGTTGTTGGGATGTAGGCGGCATCATGAACTGAGGTGGACTGAAAGTAGGCACTGGCACAAAGGAGTCGGCGGCGTGTTGTCCGTGTGGGACTGAACCGTGATTGATTCCGGTGTTGCTAAAGTATGCTTGACCATTACCGAAACTACCTGCATATTGTGGTTGTCTTGGAGAAGCATTGTCTGCAAACGGATTAGTAGTAGCGGAAACACTAGAATTACCTCCCCCCTTAGAAGCACCCTTACCATTTTTTTCGATTCCACTTATTTTTCGCTTTTCCGGGATTATGGGAAGAAGAGTATAGGGCAGGGTGGTGGAGTAGGTAGAGTCTGTAGTGGGCTCAATGGTTTCTTCCCGAGATTCATGCAACAAAAGCATATTTTTGGCTTCTAAAAAGTGGGAAAGGGTTTGGTGTTAGTGATAACATCAACTATACTATGATAGGAGGGTGGTAATTGGCATAAGATTTGCATGACTAATTCAACATCTTTTATGGGTGAGTCAACATTAGACAGAGCATCAACGAGATTATTAAGAGAATGACAGAACTCGGTAATAGATAAAGAATCTTTCTTGGTATTTTGAAATTGATCTTGAAGTTGGAGCATTCTGGACATCTTATTATTGTGAAAGAATTCATTCAGTTTATCCCAAAGATCTTTTGCGGTGCAAACATCACTAGAAATTATTTGAAGAAGATTTGGATCACATGTGGAATAAAACCATGATTTGACACGGGAGTCAATGGATTCCCAATCTTCATCGTAATCACCGGATGGTTTTGATGTACCATTAATGTGACCGAGAACCTTAGCACCTTTACACATTTCTAGTAAGATACGACGCCAAAGTTTATACTTTATTTGGATCCGTCAATAGTAAGCTTAAAACTAAATTGGGAATAAATATTGGTTAAGGCATAAACTAGTTGTTGGGCCGTAGGTGCGATGGTGGAAGAAGGTGTAGGGTTAGTCATGATGTGGGAAGTATAGGAAAGAACGAGAAAAATAAGTGAAGTAGAAAGTAGAAACTTAGGCCAGAAGTGCTTACCATGGGTAGAAGGATTGTAGTGTACGAACTACACTTTCCCGTGTGTAACAAAGATGACCGGCAGCGGAATTCCTTCTGTTCGATAGAGACTGTACGACCTCCGGACCTCTAATCGATGATCTAACAGGTGAAAACGTAGATCCAAATGTTACAGACCTATTGTCCAAAAATCAAGACGAGTTGATTGTTCAATCTCCGGGAATAGGCAAAACGGCGCGACTGCACGTTGCCTGAATATGGTCTGCCGAATTCCTTATGTTCGATATAGATTGTACGACCTCCGGACCTCTAATCAACAATCTAACCGGTGAAAACGTAGATCTAAATGTTACGGACGTACTATCCAAAAATCAAGACGATCCGACCGTTCAATCTCCGGGAATAGGCAAAAGGGCGCGACTGCACGTTGCTCGAATATGCTGCCGGGAAAAAAACGTATGAAAAACCTCAAAGACGGAGGCTCGATACCATGTTGGAATATGTGGAAATCCCATTAGGGTTTGCATATTATTGCTTAGTATATATAGAATACAACGTTACAAAGGAGTCCTTATATGATACAGATATAACAAATAAGAGATATAAAAGTACATGCTTTAACAATGCCATCTTACATTATCTGTTAAAAGAAGCTGCCACACGACTGTTTGTTTGAACCACATTGCATATAAGGGAAGTTACATCACTTAAAAGTGGATTGGTGGGGTTGGTGGTTGTTGAGAAAGTTACTTCATTTTGTTGCCATGGAGGGAAAAACATCTTGTTCTATAGCAAATGCAAAACATGGGCTAGTTACCAAAATATCGTGTTTGTCTCATGTAAGTGCATTTATTTTTGTTAATATATTCAGTAGGATCTTCTTGTCTACACTATTTATTTGTGTCGCTCTCAACTATAAAGAAGTATTGTGGTCCTTTTTGTTTGCATTGCATCGGAGTTATGACCGTAGATAGAAATCCTAGCCCCGCCAACTGCTATGTGATGCACCAGCATTATCAAGCTCAGAGTACACTACCTAAACCAGGCTACTTGGACTCTTCTAATCACCTGTAGAAGGATCCTGTAACATCCTAAGCCAACCATATCAGATATTGCCCGCTTTGTTCACACCTGGACTCACGGTTATAAAACGCGTCTGATAGAGGAGGTAACCAGTTTCTTATAAGGAAAGCTTTGTTCCCCTCCCAAACCAAAGTGGGATCTTACAGATCGCTGGTTTGATTTTGATGTTTCTCGGAAGTGCATCATTGGACATTAATAACATTAAGGATAGATCGAAATGTGGTTGTCATTCAGTTGTGGATCTTTGCATCACCACTTATATGGCAGACTTGATGTGATCACCTGTAGAAGGATCCCTGTATTCTATTGTGATTGGCATTAGAGTCTATTCTACACTCTGGGCATCGATTCTGCCACTAATCTATTTCACTGCGACTAAGACCATGTTGGGCTGCTAAGTCATTGTCAAGTGGCTGACTATTCAAATTCCTTGTTCATCATCTACACTTTATTTGGTTCGACCTATACTTGGGTTGGGCTCCTGTGAGAAGGAGAGTTAAGGTGAGAAGCGTAAGAAGGGATCTCTCAGCTGGATGCACATTAGGATGAGATGCACCGAGATTCACCTAATCAATCCCCATATCAAGTGTGATTCATGGGTGGGTTTGAGATTAAAGGTGATCAAGGGTCCATATCCCTTCTTACGCTTCTCACCTTAAATCTCTTCTCACACAATCCTTCGCCCCTATACTATTGGAGCACTCTTGGGCAATTTAGTGAATTCACTCTCTTGTATGAGAACGCAATCCCTGATTAATGTTCAAGCGAAGTCTTTTGGTTGGCATTTTAAGGAGAGAAGCTCAACCTGGTTCATAGTTGCAAATCTTGTTAGGAACATGCATTTTCTCCTCTTACAATGTGATACTCTATTACTTGTTTGTATGCGTTAAGTTATATCTAGCATTTAAGATCATCTTGAAAGAATTTATTACAAAAGGATTTGGAGCATGACGTGCGGAATTAAGGTTTTGATATCCCATAAGGACATCTTCTTGGGGCTAGAAGAAGTAATCTCTTAACCTAGTTGTTAGCTTTAGTGCCCCATGAGGATTAATCGAGATACTGACCATTGTTGCCAATAAAATAAGTATGCTCTTGATATATTTTAAGGTTGAGATGCCAGAATTCTTTTTTTTTTTTTGCAAACAATAGTATGATACCTAATCTGAAGTTCCATCAAGATGATAGAGTAATGGCAAACTAGTTATGAAGTTGAACCAACTCAAGATTGCTAATTCTGTGGTAGTTTGAGTATGGGACCCATGGTGCATTGACTTGGGTTCAATTATTGGTACTTTGTTAGAAATGCATTGTGATAATGATGCTGCAATCTATATTCAGAATTTTTTCCATCTTTTTCTAGATATTTAAAATATTTTGGTTATTCATAACCAGTGTTCAAAAAGGCGTGTGCAAGACGCGTTTCCACCGTTACGAAATGGCCCATATCATTTTTGTAAGGCGTGGCTCACTCACGCCATCGCCATGGCGTCTTGAGGCGTGCCATGGCGCGCTGCAACTTGCGTTTTTTTGTAACATGTGATTTTTTTTCAATTTTTTTATTTCTCATCTTTTGTGTTTTTACACTTTTAGCTTTAGATTTTACATTTTTATAGATCTAACTAATTACATCAATCACAATTTCACAAATTCATAAACGTTACAGACTCACGGCTAAAATGAATTTGTAAAATTACCTTTCTAAGTTCTATTTTATATATTTAATCAAAAACCTATTTTTATAATAATAATCTATATGATTTTTCTTCTAATATCATTATCTGATTAGATAATATATAGAAAACATATATCTATATATATAATTCTATATATGACATACAAATTTGCCGCCTTATGTCAGGCCTTGGAAAACGCCGCTTCCTCGCCGTGGCGTGTAAGGCTTAAGGCTTGACCTGGCCACTACGCCATGCCACGCTTCACTCCTTTTTGAACCTTGTTCATAACAGTCATAGATCTTTTCCTATACTCTACTAGTCTACTTATGATGATATAGTTCAACTCAAGTAACCAATTTTTTTAACACAACTAGAACATACCTTTCTGATGGTATTGTATCTCACACACCCAACTCATTTAAGGTTCTAAAAGGAAATGCCTTTTTTGAATTTCATCATGACAGAAGAGAACTCTTTTCAACTTTCCATAACTTTCTTGGTGATGACTTAACAACGAACATCGTACTAATCTTCTAATCCCTTCATTCTTCCAATCAAGCAGGCAGATTACGTTCGTAAAGAAGCCCTGCAACAGACGATACGCTACCTGACCACCCGTCAAGCTGCTCAAGGGTTGATCTCTTTAGGCGAGTATTTCCAACGGCTTCGTGATCTGAGTTCTGCTTGGGCCATGCGGCTTTGCGAACCGGCCTAACTAAACTCAATGCCATGGTTAACGATCTGTGTGTCTGTGTATAAAGAAATGGAATTATATTAATAGTATTTTGGCAGTTTTTTCATCAGCCTTCCACAATTGAGAAGTTCTATATTCTATTGATCATCATCATCATCATCATCATCATCATCATCATCATGTCAAAAGCAGCAGTGTGTAACTAGTTTTTCTTCTTTTAGAATGTTTGTATAGTCATTATATTCTCTCTTGAAGATAATTTTTGGTCAGAATTGGAGACATGATTGTTTGTGGTAAAGGTTTATTACACCTTGTACAAAAGTAGGAATGAAAAGTTGTCTGTATACATCAAGTACATGTTTGTCTAAATATAGATATAGAGTTTGCGGACACGTGATTCGTATTCGTGTTTTGCCATGGCCTTTTTCTACAGCCGGGTTTCGATTCTGTACAAGCTTTTCCCAAGTCCCTTATCGTTCTTGTTGTTTGTATACATCAAGTACATCTTAAGACACCTAAAAACGTCCTATAAATATATTGTAGCACTTTTATATATGACGGTTTTTTTTTGTATCGTCTTATAAATATAAGTCCTATAAAGTATTATATTATGACACTTAAACATTTTAGACGTCCTATAAACCTAATGTTGTGGTAGTGAAATGTTATAACTATTAATATTTTATTTCCACCAAAGAAAAACATCAAATGAGTAAGTTTTTGGATTGATAGATTCGTCAACCAAGTATCTATCAACATCATTCATATTCTCGGGCACATCCATTTGTTGTTGTTGCAAAAACGATTCGAATAAACAATACTATGGCCGATGACCCCTCCTCATCGGACAATACTTGAAGAGATTAACCTACTCATTGGTCACACTCTGTCCAATAACAATCCTCATCGGACAACACTGTCCGGTAACCAACCTCACTGGTCACCCTTTTACCCTGTTAACTACCTCACCGGTCAACACTTTGCAACATAAATATTAAACCGCTAAGGCTTTGTCCGATGAGTATCCTCACCGGACAAGGCATGTACGATAACACTCCAATCCGGTCAACATTCAATTATCCAAATATTAATCCAAACAACACTTGGGTGATGAGTGTCTAATCCGAACAACACTATGTCCGGCAAAGCAGAGGCGGATCCAATGGTTTAGGAGGGGGGGGGGGGTAAGGACCCCAGTGAAAAAGTAAAAAAAAATTATTTATGTTAAAGATTAGGATTTTATATTATTACCTTTACTTCCCCCCACTAGGTTTTTCAAGGGGCCCCCTTTCCCTGCCGCCAATTCCTCTCTTCTCCGGCAGTCTTCTCCGGCACAGGCGCACAGCGCACAGAGACAGCGGCACCTCTTCTCTGGCGACCGGCAGTGGCACTCTTCTCCAGCACCGGCAGCAAGAGCTTTTTAAGGTTTATTTTATTTATGCTTCTGTTGTTCCTATTCTAGCTTTTTATAATAGTGACTTAGTGAGTCTGTCAATCTGTGAAGAGTTTCTGCAATCTGCAGTATATAAAGATTGAAGGGTTTAAAATGGAGGAAAGGAGTTGGTGATTCAAGACTTCAAGTACATGAAGAGTGGACCCCATTTTGACTTTGTAAACTTTTTGAAAATTAAAAATAGTCACTCCTCTTCTTTCTTTCTTCTTCACGACTTCACCTACTCTATGCAATTGTTGACTTTTTTTTTCAAAACCCTTTTTTTTTCAAATTTCCCCTCTTTCTTTCTTCTTCATTTTGCTTCTGCTTTCTACATCTGATTATTGCTTTAGCCTTTATGAATTATGAATCATCTTACTGCTTCTATCTTACTGTTTAAGTTTTTGGTAAAGTTAAAATGTAAACAGTAGATAAACATTGGGGCTTTTTAAATTTTAAGCTTTTAGTAAACTATTAAAAATTAATATCAATACTAGAGTGGACAAATACAAATATTTAATAGATGCTTATTTGCTAATATTTAATGGTTAAAATGTCCCCTTGTTTTTGCTAGAAGATGGAAAGATTTCTGAAAAGAAAGGCATCAACGTCCGATAATAGTGGAGAACCTTTAAACAACTTGCGCAATGATCTTCCCTAGATGCCTAGGGAAGTTGATTTGAATAATCTTCCATCGGATCCAGCTGAAAGGAAAAGAATTTTACAATACCATCCTAATCAAAGAGATGAAATCAGACGACACTATTTGATTAAAGGACCATGTCAACCACGTGGTCACGACTTTCCAAAAAGAATAATTGGGAACAAGGCAAGACGTTTTAACCCGGCTTGGTTTGATCAATACGGTAATTGGTTGGAGTATAGTTTAAAATTAGATAAAGCTTTTTGCTTATGTTGTTACTTATTTAGAGATCAATGTGGTGGACAAGGTGGGAGTGATGCTTTTTTAACCGAAGGCTTTAGTAGTTGGAATAAAACCGAGAGATTGACTACTCATGTAGGTTACATTAATAGTTTCCACAATAGAGCTGTTAAGAAGTGTGAGGACCTAATGAGACATGGTCAATCAATTGCCGCCGCCTTACATAAACAAAGTGATATTCAGAAGAATGAATATCGTATCCGGTTRAATGTTTCTGTTGATGCTGCTAGATTTTTGTTGAATGGTGCATTACCTTTTCGTGGTCACGATGAGTCAGAAACGTCTCTTCATAGGGGAAATTTCTTGGAATTAATAAAATTAATCCGGGATCAAAATGAGGTTGTTGGTAGGGTGATATTAGAAAATGCTCCTGGGAATAATCTAATGGTGGCGCCAAGTATTCAAAAAGATATCATTCATTGCTTTGCACAAGAGGTACTCAAAACATATTTTCCAAGAGATTAAGGATGATGTGTTTTCCTTATTAGTTGACGAGTCGAGTGACATATCTAGAAAGGAACAAATGGCTGTGGTTTTGCGATATGTTACACATGGGATTGTTAAGAAAAGATTTATTGGTCTTGTACATGTAAAGGACACAAATGCTTTATCTCTTAAATCTGCGATTGAATTCTTATTTGTTGAACATGGTTTGATTTTGAAAAAGGTTAGAGGCCAAGGTTATGATGGAGCAAGCAATATGCGTGGCCAATTCAATGGTTTGAAAGCTTTAATCATGAGAGAAAATAGCTCAGCATATTATGTCCATTGTTTTGCTCACCAACTTCAGTTAGTTGTTGTGGCGGTTGCACATAAACACATCGAGACTAGAAAATTCTTTGACATGATAGCATCTTTGATGAATGTGGTTTGTGCTTCTTGTAAGCGAACATATATGGTTCGAGAAAGTCAAAAGGAGAAAGTACAAGAAGCCATTGGTAGCGGTGAAACTGAAACGGGTAGTGGGTTAATCAAGAGCTTTCTCTTGGAAGACCTGGAGATACACGATGGGGTTCACACTATAAAACACTTAAGCGTTTGGTTGATTTGTTTCCATCCGTTATTGAGGTGCTTGAGTATGTTGAAGATGTGTGCGAGAATCCTTACAACCAACGTCAAGCAAATGGTCTTCAAGTATATTTCCAATCATTTGATAGTGTGTTTTATTTGCACTTGATGTTGCATATTTTGGGGGTCACAAAATCATTGTCACAGGCTCTTCAGAAAAAAGATCAAGACATCTTGAATGCTGTTTCATTGGTGAAGTCAACCAAGCGACAGTTGCAACAATTTAGAGTTGATGGATTTTGTCGGCTTCTTGAGAATATCTCTTCTTTTTGCGAAAAACACAACATCGGAACAGTTAACATGGAGGAAGTTTATGTCAATCCAAAAAATCAAAGACACAAGACAAATATCACATATCGACATTATTACGAGTACGAATGTTTTAACACGGTTATGGATATGCAAATTCAAGAGTTTGGTGATAGATTTGATGAGGTAAGTTCYGAATTGCTCACTTGTATGGCCRCWTTGGATCCTCATTACTCATTTTGTGACTTTGACCCATCAAAATTACTAAGGTTGACAGAGTTTTATCCTGATGATTTTAGCAATGACGAAAGAACTACTCTTAAGCACCAACTTCAACTATACATTGACAATGTCCAACATGATGAATTATTTGCTAATTTGAAAGGTATATCCGAGCTTGGTAGAGTGATGATTGAAACAAGGAAACATCTCGTGTTTCCTTTGGTTTATCGATTATTGAAGCTTGCATTGGTTTTGCATGTTGTAACCGCAACAGTTGAGAGATGCTTTTCTGTAATGAAGCTTGCGAAGCCAGCTTTGCGCAATCGAATTTGTGACCATTTTTTGAATGCGTGTGTCATTTGTGCCGTAGAAAAAGAAGTACTTGCTAAGGTTACAAATCAAGATATAATGACTCGGTTTCAAATGATGAAAACTCGTAGAAATCAACTTATGTAATCACGTATTATTAATTATAATGATTGATGTGTTGGTACATTGTTAGTTTAAGTGACCCCAGTGTATAAAATTCCTGGATCCGCCACTGCGGCAAAGGGTCTTCACCGGACAAGACTGTGTCCGATAAAGTCCTCATCGGTCAACACTCAACATTACACCGGTCAAGGCTTGGCCGGTAAGGACCCTCATTGGCCAGTACTATTTTCGATTACAACCCTTATCGAACCATGAAGTTCATCAATAAAATGCATATATTCAAAGTATGATCACCAGCAGATTTTACAGGCCATGAAATCCAGAATAAGTAAATCATAGTTTGTTTGTTAAAAAGACTAACTTATGCAAGATTTGAATTGAAGAAGATAACAACAAATAAGAATCAGCTTTACTTTGATCCCAATCCCAGTTTCCAAATTTAGTAAGAAATAAACACCGAAGGGTTCTTCCCAAAAATGACAGAAAGAAAAATTTTCCTTTTATTTATGCCTCAACCAGAAGGCAGTGAAAAGAAACCATTTTAATAAGAAAGTCTTTTCCTTTGAAACCTCATGCACATAACCCATGCACTTCATGCATACACATAAACATGCACCTTTTAACCCATCCATGCATATAAAATATGCATACCAACATATGATATACATACCCATAATTTAATGTATCAACATTCCATGCATAATATATATAAATTATGCATATACATATTCACACATATATATATACCCACATGATTAATTATAACAATTAATCACATATTCACGTAATCACATAATCAAATGATCACATAACAATTACCTCAAGTGCATAATTAGGACCTGGTTATCACAATCCGATAAGTATTCAATTGAGTGAGCAATAACCAATCATTTCAAATTTTGTTGAGTGAGCAATAAGAAGTCAATTTGGTGAGTTTGTTCAAGTGTCAAGAATTCTTTTTGGTATTCAAAACCAGTTCCAGATAATTTTTCTGAACGATCAGTTCAAGTGTACTTTTTGTTAGGATCGTTTAACTCAGATTCTTGGTAAAGATTACTTACTTGGATGATTTGTTTAACAGTGAGAATGCAGCRGAAATAATAATAATCAACCAAAGTAAAGATCAATAAACAACACAGGGAAGAYGATTGAAGAACACAAGAGAAGGCTTCAAATGATTTTCAATTGATGAAAATATTAACAATTACAATACTGGAAGCACACTTAATTACAAAGGCCTACACTSCTATTTATACAAGCAAGTAACCGTTTTTCTGACATGACCTAAAGCAAATTAATCTCAGCCATTAGATCAGTACGAATTACAGACAAGAACACGTGATAGGCACGAGCAGCTAAAAGACCTAAGTAAAACAGCTTAAAGATAATCTACACAGAAGACATTGCTGCAGACCCTCTGTTAGACAACACAGAGGCTCTGCTAGATGAAACGTGAAAGTACGCAGAGGAAATCTTCCAGAACCTCTGTGAGACACGACAGAGGTTCTGTCCCTTGAGACTTGTAGCTTGCATCTTTTGCTGTTGGTCCTCTGTGGTCTTCTGTGACAKATCATCTTCTGTCAATACTTGCAGTTTTACTTTTTCTATACTTTTACATTTAAGGAACTGAGAGCTAACACTTTTTGAAAAATGTCTAAAGATATGTTGAGTATCGGTCAGATTCCAAGCCATTGGTTCTAGCTATCGGGGAATATCAACAACGGAAAGTTTGGATGATACATTTCCTCGATAACAAATATGAGAAGTTGATGCAATCTATCAAGGATGGACCTTATATGAGTTACATGGATCTACCTGCTCAGACAACTGAAGAAGGTATTTTTGTTCCAGCAACAAAACAGAAGAAAGATCCTCAGTATCATACTAGTACTGAAAGGCAAAAGGTCCTGATTGACAAGAACGCATTAACTTACATATTATTCTGAATGAGTTATTCAACAAAATAGATAGTTGCGGATCAGCAAAGGAACTCTGGGATGAGCTTGAGAGACAAATGTTTGGTAGTGAGAAGTCAGTTCAAACTAGAATAAACCAGTGCATTAGTTCTTATGAAGGGTTCAGGGCTAGAGAGAATGAATCAATTAGTGAATCCTACAACCGATTCAATGTGATTTTGAATGATTTGAGAAGAAATGGAGTTCGGAAATCTATATCTAAGATCAATTACAAGTTTCTTAAGAATCTGAAGCCTGAATGAACACTCTTGCAGTTTATCTACAAATGAACAAGAATATGTCTGAGGAAGACATTCATGATTTGTATTGCATTTTGTTTGAACAAGAAGAGACTGTGAGAGCAGAGTTGGTAAGTGAGAAGAAGAGAGTAGCCGACTCCTTGGCTCTGCTATTTGGAAAGCAAGGAAGAATAGATCTGATTCAAAAAACTCTAAATCTTTGAAGTCTGAATTGTCAAAACAGTTAGAAAGTGAGTCAACTGAAGATTCATCTACAGATTCTGATGATGACATTTGTGAGTTTTCAAAGAAGCTGGCCTTGCTAACTAAAAAGTTCCATAAAAGGTTTGGGAAGAAAAAGTTTGTGAAATATGATAAGAGCAAGGGCAAGGAGGTCAAGCAAGAGAAGTTTTCAAAGCCAGAGATCAGAAAGAGATCAAAGTTGAAGATAACAGATGCTACAATTGTAGGAAACCTAGTCATTTCATCAAGGATTGTCGTTTTAAGAAGTTCAAAGATTCCGACTATTATGTCAACAAGGCTCATCTTGCTAAAGCCCTTGAGGATGGTAACGCCTTGGTTGCTGATCAGGAAAGCTTGCTGATAGAATCGTTAGATGATAAAGCTGCACATTTCACGCAAGTAAACATGTGCTTAATGGCAAAAATTGAAGAAGGAAACTCATCATCTGATAATGAATCTGAGATACAAAATTCTCTGAATGTTGAATTAATTAAGGAAATTGAAAGTGTGAATGTTGAATTTAATATTTTGAAAGAAAGACTAAAAGGAGAAAGAGCTTTAATGCTAAAATTCAAAAAAGAAAGTTGTGGCTTTAAGTGTCTAAGTGAAGGTCTGAGAGAAGAGAAAGAAGTACTGAGATCTGAAAAATCCAAAATTGAAAATAATTTTCAGTTGCTTAAGAAGAGATTGAGTGAAGTAGAATGCGAGAGAGATAATATTCAGTTAAAATTTGATATGATTTTTACAGAAAGAGGAAAACTTTATGACAAAGTCAAACAATCAGAGGAAATAATTTTTAAAACAGGTCAATCTGAACAAACGTTGAAGATTTTAACAAATAAACCCAAGACCTCATGATTTTATAATCCTTAAATGGGTTTAGGTTTACAGAAAAACGACACTTTGAAAAAGGCCTCAAAGTGTGATAATCGGGTCCTGGTTATATACTTGAGGTAATATTTATGTGATTATTTGATTATATGGATGTATGCATATATATGTGAAAATATGTATGCATAAGATTGTTAATATGCATATGTGTATCCATGTTTTATGTGTATAGATGCATGAAATTATGCATATAGGTGAGTGGATATTACATGTGCATGCATGAATTGTAGTTATGAATTTGTGTACGTGCATGTGTGTATATGCATAGTTATGTGAAAGAGGATGAGAAGTATTTTAAAATAACCTTTCCCAAACCGCCTTCCTCATAAAGCAGGTATAAAAAGGGAAATATGTTTGGAAAGAAAATTTTTCTGCCATTATCAAAAAGAAAAAAACAGAGAAGAGAGAAATTGTGTGGGTTTCTGCTAAATTCTGAATATGCGTTGTTGCCGCATATGCAACTCTTTCTGACTGAACAAATGTTGAAGGCTCTTATGATCTGTAAAAATCTGATATTTAACTCCTAATAAATAGTGCCTCCAAATCTTTAAATGCGAATACCACGACTGCAAGCTCCATATCATGCGTCGGATACTGCGTAAAAAATGACTTTTCCCCTTTGCATCAGTACGCAACTCAAACCCAACTTTGAAGCATCAATATAAACTACGAAGTCTTCAGATCCCTCTGGTAGCGATAGTACTGGAGCACTACAAAGACGACCTTTTAACAACTGAAAAGCTTTATGCTGATCTTCTTTCCACTCAAACTTAACATTCTTCCGAGCCAGCTTGGTTAGCGGTGCAGCGATTATTGAAAAATCTTGAATAAACTTCCGGTAATAACCTGCTAACCCCAAGAAACTACGAATTTCATAAGGAGTTCTCGACACCTCCCATCTTTTAATTGCTTCAATCTTGGCATGATCTACTTTTACTCTTGCCTCAGATATGACATGACCCAAAAATTGTACTTCCCTCGACCATATTTCATATTTGGACAGTTTAGCAAATAACTTTTTTTTCTTCAAGAGTTCAAGGATCTGACGAAGATGTTCATCATGCTCTTCTTTAGATTTCGAGTATATAAGAATATCGTCAATAAACCCAATACCGAATTTATCAAGATATTCATTACATACCCGATTCATTAGATCCATGAAAGCTGGAGGAGCATTGGTTAAACCGAAAGGCGTAACCAAAAAACTCATAATGTCCATATCTGGTTTGAAAAGCTGTTTTGGCCATATCTTCATTTATGATCTTAAGCTGATGATATCCCGACCACAAATCGATTTTAGAAAAGTAACTGGCTCCCACCAGTTGATCAAATAAATAGTCAATTCTCGGTAAGGGATACTTATTCTTGATAGTCAGCTTATTCAGCTCTCTGTAGTCAATACACATTCGCATGGACCCGTCTTTTTTGACAAACAAAACTGGAGCACCCCAAGGTGAAGTACTCGGTCTGATGGAGCCTTTGTCGAGTAGATCTTTTAATTGTGTAACCAATTCCTTTAGTTCCAATGGTGCCAAACGATACGGTGCCTTGCTACTGGTGCTGTCCCGGGTGTCGGATCAATTATGAATTTAATAGACCGATCTGGCGGTAAACCAGTCAACTCCTCTAGAGAAACTTCTGGATAGTCACAAACTATTGGAATCGACTCTTGCTTGCCTTTCTCTTTCTTTGAATTAATTACATAGGCCAGATACCCACGACACCCTTTCTGAATACACTTCTGTGCTTTCAAAACCGACAACAGATTAGTATGATGATCCTGCCGATCACCATAAATCACAATTGGCCCTCTCTTTAGCAAAATGATATTGATCATCTTCTTATTGCACATAATGCTGGCCTGATTTTTTGCCAACCAATCCATTCTCACCACAACATCGAATTCTTTCATTGGCATTGGAAATAAGCAGATTGGCAGCCCACACCCCTCAATTTCAAATATGCAGTTATCAAAAACATAGGTAACAGATGCTTGACTATCAGCAATATCAACTACTAATATATTGTCAAGAGGCACAGAGTTCATATAGACACATCCCACAAATAATGGTAATACGAAAGAGAAATTCGCACCAGAATCAAACAACACTTTAGCATATACGGAGTTAACAAAAAAAGTACCTGTTACCACATCTGGTGTTACCTCAACCTCACTTTTCGTCATTTGAAAAGATCGTCCCTGAGCCCTCCCTGTCCTCCCCTTGGCACATTCGTCTTCCACGAGTACTCGGAGTATTTCTTCCCATAGTTAGTTGTAGAGTTTTCAATTGAGGACAATTCTGTCTGATATGATCTGGGGAATTACAATTAAAACATCTTTTGTTGGTTGGACAATTTCTAGACAAATGACCCGACTCGCCACATCGGTAACATTTTCTCTAATCAGGATTACAGTCACCTTGGTGTACTTGATGACATCTCAGGCACGGGTTATCACCAATACGTTGGACAGGACAATTATCCACTTGTAGAAATTTGGGTCTTCGAAAACCAGTTGAAGACCCTTCCCATTTCCTCTTTTCAATTACTCTTTCTTCTCCTTGCCTATTTTTATTCCTCTTAGTTGTTTCAGCAGCGTCTACTGCTAGTGGAAATGTGGCAGGACTTATAGCGATCACAAATTCTCGAAATTGAGGGTTTTAAACCCCAGATATACATCTCAACTTTTCTTGATTCAGAGGAAATATAATGTTCTGCAAACCGAGAATGTTCAATAAACCTTTCGGTGTATTCCCGTACTGAACGGTTGGGCCCTGTTCTAGTTTTAGAAAGTCTTCTTCCATTTGTCTTACAGCTGCCTTTGGACAAAATTGTTCTTTAAATCTATTTACAAACTTTGACCAAGGCATGGTTGGTAGAATATTTGGTTTAGCCAATGATTCTACATCCCACCAGTATAAAGCGTTAGATTTTAACATTAAAACATCAAATCTAACCTTGTCTTCTTCGGGGCATTTGCTGGTATTAAACACATATTCAATCTCCTTCAAACAGCACATAGCTTTAACATGATCTCTTTCCCCAGAAAACGTTGGGGGCTTGCAAGTCAAAAACATCTTTATGTCACCCCTTTTACTACTTGTAGCTGGAATTTGAGGATTTACCTCCACTCGTTCTGTTTCAACTTTGGCTGGTATTCCCATAATTGATGTTAGAGTCTCTCTTAACTTGCGCATCTCTTCATCTAAATACATCTCGTGTCACATAATTTGGTTGTGGTACCAGTTCCTGATTGACATTTCCAGAAATAGACTCACCCTCGTCTGGATGAATCTCAGACTGACTTTGTCTTCCTCTTATCTGACTCCTTCCACGACTTCTACCCCGGCTTCTTCCGCTGCCTTGGCCTTTAGATACACTTGTTGGAGCATTATCAAGGGAATGATCTCTATCATCTGGGTTGGCGCGGGTAATCCTTTTAGATCTTCTAGAACGACTAGTCAGCTGCAAATTTTCAACATTTTAATAATCATACCCAAATATAATAAGGTGTCTAAGTACAAATATGTACCTGTAAACTCATAATTACATTGGCCAATTGTAATTCGAATTTACCTTACATACTGTCATTTTAACCCATCATATTTATCCCAATGGTGCTATCCATGTCTGGGATCCCTTAATATGCAAATAACGCAGTTTAAGTCTAAGCATCATGCTTGAATATCTAATTCCCTCAAACTCAGACTCTGATACGACATCTGGAACACCCCATTTTCCATATTTGCATATGAACATGTACTTCATATACTAAGAAATATAAATACACCACTTTGGTCCCACTAGTACAAGAAATTATAATACAAAATTTACAACTCAAAAATTTCAAATAATCTTCTTGTACATCACATGTAGAAACAACATGTACTTCCAAAAGCCATCAAATAACAGGCTGATCTTCAAAGAGCAGTTAAGCACATAAGGGAAATAATCACATTTTCTCTTTTCCATTATCCCTGGACCCAATCGAACCTGCAATGCGTAATTTCTAAAACACAAAATGAAGGTTAGACCATGAGGTCTAGTGAGAAACCCCTTCTTTGCAATTACAGGGTGAAGATCACCAAAACCTGTTATAAAATCCACATTTGAACATTAGGGATGGCAAAAAAAACCGAAACCGACGGTGAAAACCGAAAACCGAAACTTTCGGGCCGGGTTCGGGGATATTTTATCGGGGACGAATTCGGGGATTTTAACGGGGACGGGGACGGGGGCAGGGACGGTGATCACCGGCCCGGCCCGGCCCGATATGTATATATATATATATTTATTTATTTATTTTAATTTATATACATACATATATATATATATATATATAATATCATTAAAAAAAAGTAACATTAAAATTTAAAAAACTTTTATTCACTTTACCTCAACAAACCAAATAAAGCTCACGAAAAAGTCTAGTTTATTTGTATAAAAACGTGATTTTAGTTGTATGATGTTTGAATTTTTGTTTAGTTTTATATTGTAATCTAATACATTGTTTGTAATTGGTTCGATTATATTTGAGACATTTAAATTTAGATCTTTAAAAAAATTGTAATTTACTTTTAATTGTGAAAATTAACATATTGTAATTTTTTCCATATCGGTTTCGGGTTTCGGTTTCGGGTTCGGGTTCGGTTATAACCAACGGTGAAAAAGAGAATTTTTATCCTTAACGGGTTCCCCAACGGGGATCGGGGAAACCGCGGGGACCCGATGGAGATCCCCGATAAGATCCCCGACGGGGATCGGGACGGTTACGGGGACGGTTTTAGCTATCGGTTTCGGGGACGGGGATACCAATACCCGGCCCGAACCCGGCCCGTTGCCATTCCTATTGAACATCCAACCACTTTAATGAAATATAACTTTAGTAATACAACAACTGCAAGTTATAAAAGCATCTTACCACAAAAGATATATAACCACTCAGGTTCTTACAGACATCTGGAACACAACTCTCAAAGCTCTCAAGTCTCATCAGACTAGAGCTTACAGTCTCAACCTCCAAATCATGCCAAGAAATACCAATCACCAAAGTTCTTGGTTATTAATAAAAGCTTTTAAGATAAGAACAATTTTAAACTTAACTGAATCAAATAATAACCAAAGACCCTACGGGTTTCATTTCAAATCTCTACTCTTTCGAATAATCATATTAGGATATTTGATATCTCACAATTATTTGAAACACTGGATTAATGCCTCCTACTATAAGCCATTTTCCCCTTCTCAATAACATTGTTGGTATCATTTCAATAAGAGCAATATTTCCAAGTCTTCATGTTAGAAAGAAGAGTTAACTCAGAATTATCGTATCTTATGAATGTGACAACAAGAACTATAATAGTAACACATTCAAATGTCACCCTTATCCAAATGTACATATCTCCTTAATTTGTCACTCTTATCCCATGGTACATCTCTCCTTGATATGCCACTCTTGTTTCTTCATTAAATCTACAGATAAATCTGTAGTTTTAGCCAACAATGGCCTCAAAACAGTTTCATATCAGAAACTTTATCTCAAGAACTCTCATAGTTCTTAAACCCACTTTCAGTATCATCTCAACATTCTTTCAAAAGCAGTTATTCAACTCAACAGTTTTGAAAGAAACCACAGTACCTTTCTCAATTTATTAACCACATTTAAAAGATACAAAAATAATAATGTAAATCCTCATCGGACACCACTTGGCTGGATACTTCTTCACCGGACAATGCCTCAACCGATGACTGCTCTCATCGGACAGGACTTGGGCGATGACATGCCCTTATCGGCCAACACACACAATCCAGGCAACACTTGAAAAATAAGAACATACTCATCGATCAATAATATGTCCAGTAACAACCTCACCGGTAAACACTGTGTCCGGTAACACCCTCATCGGTCAACACTTAAATAAATAGAATCGAACAATGCTTTGTCCGATGAGCATCCTAACCGGACAAGGCGTTGGACGAGCAGTCCATTCAACACTTAAAAATTTCAAACACTTAATCCGTTCAACACTTAGGCGATCAGGTGTTCAAATCGGACAACACCCTGTCTAATAAAGATCTTCACCGGACAACACTTCATCCAGTAAAGTCCTTATTGGATGTTACATAAATTATACAACTTTCTTACCAATCAAAGCATGACCGATAAGGGAACTTCATCAGACAACACTATGTCCGATTACAAGCCTTTATCAGACCATGCATTTTCATAAGAACTTACATAACATTTACAACAATGTTCAAAATCATGCAAACTAGAATTTACCAACAGAACGTATTAGATTCAAGACTATTTTAATAAAAACTCACCTTATGTAAAGAATTTTGAAGATGAAAACAGCCCACAGAAAATCTGCTACCAAAATTGATCCCAAAATTCAACTTCTTTCCTTAGTAAATAATCCACACCGAAATTTCTCCCTCTCTTTGCAAAACTTTCCCAGAATAAAAACTAAAGTTGCCTCTTCAAAAATTTCCACTTTATATACCTTCTAAAAGAAGGCGGTTTGAAGAAATATCATAAAATCTTCTCATTTCACACTCCCATACACATGCATAAACTCATGCATGTATATATACTCATTTGCACATAAACACACACACACACACACACACACACATATATATATGCATATACCCACATCATAGATTATAACAATTAATCACATACTCAAATAATAAATACCTCATATGTATAATTAGAACCCGGTTATCACAATACTCTTTTCTTCACCTAATGTTTTAATTTTCCCGTTGAGTTTTTTTTTACATTGGCGCAAGTTTTTAATGAGACAAAAGTCCATACATCATCTTGTTTTCTAAAACTCTTGATTGATGTATGAATCAAAGAGGATGGTAACTAAATGAATTGTTTATTGATGCATTCTACTCTTTCTTTCGTCCAAAGTCTTTATTATCCCACTGAGTTTTGTTTATTTGGCGTAGGTTTTAATGAGACAATAATTATGCACAATCATCAATTTAACTTGGCACAAGACGGAGTGTTGAAAGATTATTTGTCATCTTCAAAAGGAAGTGATTGTAAATTCATCCTTATTTTAAGAGATTATGACTAATGAGAATTACGAATTTCCTATTTTCTATTTACTGTTATACTGTTTCTTTTGTCTTATAACGATAACTGTACTGAATTTTTTCATTACAAATACTATACAATCAAAATTGTGAATAAATATTTTTAAATAAATCAATCAATCAAAATTGTTGCCAAATATTTACGGGGCGTTTGAAATTGCTTACTTAAAACAACTTATGGTTTTTTTTGTAAAAGTGTTTATCAACTTATGTTGTGATAAACTGAAGTTTCATAAAAAGTGTTTGTATTAGTTTATAACAGTACCACACTGGAAAAACTGATAAAATAGATGAGATGTCTTTTTCTTCTCGTCAAAACACTAAAAACTCTTTATTATCGGTATCACATCGGAATAAGTTAATAAGTTAGAATGAGATAACTTATCAAAAACTCTTTATTACCGGTACCAAACCGGTATAAATATTTTCTTATTTCTCCATCCAAACACAAAAAACTTTTTGTTACCGATATTACACCGGAATAGGTTAGTAAACACTTCAAATAAGCAAATTTCAAACACCCCCTTAAGTCGTGACAAGAGAAGATATCATAAGATAAATGTAGGGGTATACAAAACCTGAATTATTCGAAATCCGAACCCAAACCTAAATCGAAAATAAGGAATTTATGTAAAACCTGAATGCCCCAAAATCCAAAAATCCGAAAACCGACTTTTTGGGGAAAATTTAGGTTCAGGTTGGATTTGATTTTTGGCCATCCGATTCATCCGAAAACCCGGTATATATATATATATATTTTAAATATTATATAAATATATATTTATTTATCTGATTATCTTTTGAAGATTCTAAAAATCTTAGTCGGTCGTGTTTTTTTTCTAATTTTTAAGCATACTATCCATTTATCAATTCTCTAAATCGATTGAATTAATCGTCAAAATCAACTGGACATATATATTTTTTGCATTATAATTAAACTCAAAACCCCACCGACCTTAATTCAAAACCCGACCAATCCAAATCAGAAACAATCCAAAATCTGAAATCCAAGAATTAAGGCATGATTTCCATTATTCGTAATCCGATGGGATTTTGATTTTCCCATCTGAACCCGTCCGACCCGGCGATGCCCGATGCACAACCCTTATATGGGATTTCACAAGAACTTGGTACGTCGTCTATCTTCCTGACCTCATTTTGCATCCAACAAAGGCAAAACCCTAACAAAAAAGAGGGCCATTTCCATCTCCAATTCATAACGCCACACCCTTCTAGAAAAGCCCATTTTGATCTTCCAAGAGGGTTTCTTCTGACCCAAATTTCTTCAGAAACGAAAGCAAAATCTTGTTTTTGCTCCCATGTTTCATCGTTTTTAGTTTTTAATTTCGTTGTTTGCAGACCGTAGCTTATTAATTTTGGTTTCTCCTCCTTCGTGTTGCTAATTTTGTGGTTTGAATGTTTTAATCCTCCTGATGGTTGTTTTTGTGTGCTGATGAACTTAGGGTTTCGTGTTATTGCACCTACCAATTAAGTGGTGGACCAACTACTAAAGTCAGTATTATCCTTCCGAAGGATTCGTCGAATCGAACACCACTGTGAGTTCTCTACTATGAGTTAAGTTGATTTACTCGTTGGTAAATTGTGTGGGCAATTTTTGTTTCCTGATTTTATGTCGATTGTATTTGCTCAAGGGATAATTATATTGTTATGCTCTTTAAAATGATTGTAATCTGTGGATTTGAGGCATCTAATTTATGGTCCAGAAGTTGTTTTTGTGGGCTCTTTAACTCTTGATTTTTCTTTGACTTAAAACATGTTCATCTTCTTTGTATTATATAAGCTGTTGGAGTTTTTTTGGGCTGCGCCATCTTAGCTAACAAAGCTGCTGTTAAATTTGTATGGGAGTAAGCTGGAAATGAGTTCTTTTCCATTCTTCCCTTGTAACTCTATAATTGAAAACGCCTTCCTCTTTAAATGTTCCTAAATTAATCATATTACGACCAGCTGAAAAATGGAAGTTTGTACAATTTATCAAAGAATCTTATCTCCTGCCCCTGCAAAAGTACTCTGTATGAGCTGAAACGAGACTTATATGGAGCAATGGAAGTGAGAGGGGATGGCCTAATGTGCATGGCTTGACCATACAAATTATGATCATATATGCCATGGTGACTAACGTGAAGCACATAGCATATAGTACATGTAATTGGTTGATTTCCCTTTTTTTAGTTTTACCATTTTGACCTTTTGTTAAATTAGATTAAAGCATACCTGTAACCTGTTTATGCTCTCATTATGGTCAAGTCACTCATCAGTACATCTAAAGTATATGTTGGATATGCTCAAACCAGCAGCATTTTCTCATTGCTGATCTGGTCCACCTTTCTTCCATTGCCACAAATGCACGTTGACATATGGAATTAAGCTACACTAGTCTAATGTACAAGTGCCTTCTTGATGGACACTCTCTTTATCCTGAATATATATGCTGTGAACAGACTCTTTATAAAAGATTGATGAGTGTATGTGGGCCATCATGCACAATAAGGATTTCATTATTTTCCCTTATATAAAACATAATTTACTTTTGGAGTGGAGAGAGTTTTTAATTGGACGATGCCCTTTAGAATTGTCAAACATGGCATTATGAAGCCTGTTTTTTGAATTTGCTTTCATCTTCTTATGATATCCTTTTATTTGAATTAAGTTATGACCATGAACTCTTTGGTACTACTTGTAACTAAAAAAGGATGTTTTATTATGGCATGTGATACAAGGATAACTTGATAAGCTGATATATTGTTCTGTTGATCAGGTGGGACCATATGAATAACTACTGAATCTGATATTTTACCAGGGTGAGGTTTGCTGAGTAGGAGATATGTCAGAAAGCAAAAAGACGTCTTCACCATATGTTGTCCTTGACAATCGTTCTCTTGATCAGTGGAAAGTAACTGAGCTGAAAGAAGAACTCAAGAGACGGAAACTGATGACCAAAGGATTGAAAGATGATCTGGTTAGGAGGTTGGATGAAGCTGTTCGTTCTGAAGTTGAAGAGGCTAACCAAAATCATGACATTGGTGTCAATGATATTACCCAGCCTGAGGTTCCATCTGATGATGCCACAGTAGAGACACCTGTTGCAGAGAAAACAATCAGCATTATGGACAATAGTAGTGCCAACAATGAGAGCTTAAAGGAAGAAAAAATTACAGAGACGTTTGATAAAAATGTGAGCTTAGAGAAAGATAGCTTGGCTGAGAAAATGGATAGTGATGGGAGCTTAGAGAAAGATGGTTTGGTTGAGAAATTGGATAATAACGAGAGCTCAGAGAAACATAACATAACAGAGAATTTGGATGATAAAAACAGGATTAATAGGGATGTGCCTGTAGAAAATGATGTTTTGCAGCTATCAGCCAAAAAGTTGGTTACAGAAGGGGAACATGGCATTGTTTCTACTGGCATTGAAGGCTTTCAGGTACTTCAAGAGGTTTCTGCGGAAACTTCTGTTTTGGTCAGTGAGGGTATGGTATCTGAAGAGCTGGGACAGCAGGATTTGCAAAATGTTGAAATCAACCATGAAGGAGAGGTCTCAAACTTGCAGCCAGAGGATGGAGAGTCAAAGCCTGAATCACAATCCTCAAAGGAAGAAGTCAAGCCTAATTCATCTCATATAGGCGGCCAGGTAGTCGAGGTCAGCCTAGTAAAATCTGATTCTATTTCTATTGATACTATGTCAATTACTGAAAAGATTGAACTAAAGGATAACGTAATTGCTGATGATGTCAAATTAGAACTTGACGTTAAGCTTGAGATGGTGCAGCCATCATCCAGCAAAGTTGTCCTGGATGATGCCAAAACAGAATCAGTTGTAGTTGATGAGCCACATGAGGAAACATTTACCACCGAAGAGAAAGATGTCAATAATGCTGAAAGTATCAATATATGCAAGAAAAATGATAGTGACGATGTGGGTTCTCCAGAGAAGTTAAATTTGGATCGAAGTTCTGGTGATGATTCGATGGAGGAGGATGCATTAGAGAGTAAACAGATTGATTCGAAGTTTAATTCTCAAGATTTAGGTGATATAAGTAAGAAAACGGAGCTGCCTCTTGTAAAGGAGGATGAGCCTGTTGATGTTATGGTCGAGGATACACCTGCTGCCAAGAATACCAAAAGTACTAAAGATAATAGTGATCCTTCTGTCGTGCCCATAAAAAGAAAGCTTCGTGGTAAAACTTTATCCTTATGAGCATCTTGCCAGCCCTTTCTTCCCTTGGCATTCTTTTTGATGACATCTTCTCACATATTATTGGTTTTAACTCTGATGCCTTTATATTTGACCTCCCTTTTGGAGGGAAGTCACATGATTTGCCATTGCTATATATTAGTACTGGATGGTGTTGTATAAGTTGTCACTATTCACATTATAAACAGTTAATTGTTCTTTATAATTGTGAGTATGACATTTTTGGTGCAGAGTGAAATGCTTGATTGAAAATTAGAATCCTTCATGCAGCGTAGGTTGACATATGAACCGACAGCTTATATGCCTACAATTCGAGCTAGTGCTCTGACATATTCCATTTGATTGATATAGATGTATATTATACCACAGTTTGCCAATCATTCTGGACTAGTTTGTTTTGCCTTGATGCTACATAAAGAAGTTAGTTAATTTTGCTATTTTCGGGGATTTATATTTGTTTCTCCCGGCAAATGCTTGAATCTTTAAGTTTTTCTTTGAATTTCACTTTTGACTACTTGGTGTGCTCCTTTCACTGTTTCACCTATTTGAAAATATACAAGATGGTAAGATAATTAGCTGGGAGTGTTAGTAAAGATCAATACATGTTTGTTCTTAGGTATTTATCAACGGGGTGGTACTTGAGAAGTTCATAAATCTTGTATTGATATATCATAGCTGTTGACTATAACATGAGCATGTTGTGCATGAGGGTGTCGCTTCCCCTTAACCTGTACTAGACCCCTGTGGTTATGTTCGTAGTCAAAACACCATATTGCTGTTACCAGCTAGTATCCACTACTGGTTGTGAAAGACCTAACTGTAGGGTCTTGGGATTCCTTCCTTCTGCAAAATCTTTCTGTACCGTACTGTAGGAGAAGTTGCCATTGGATTAATCGAGTTTAATGACATTTTTTTTGTAATACCTAAAAGATTTTACTAGTTGTAGCTTTTGAGATAAATTATTAAGCATATTGGAGCGCAATTTTGCTGACTCTATGTTTTGATGAACAGTCTGATTGTAGTCTATTTTTCGGGATGTGTACTTTAGCATGTGATCAGGGTTTTGCTGCTCCACCTTTTAGTTTGCATTCCATCTTGTTTCCTTGTTTATTTTTTCTTTTCCAACTTGCATTCTGTCAATGTGACTATAAAAATGCTCTCATAGCAGACCAAGAAGCAGTGACAAACGTCGAGGTAGTAAAGAGGCAGCGCAGGTGGAATTCTGAAAGCCTTAAGGTCCCTGAACAGCATAGCACTAATCCTTCTCTATCTACTACACCTAAGGATGCATTCCAGGCTTCTATGAAGCACAGCTTTTCGAGATCTGATTCTTCAGTTAGCCACGAGGAGCCAAAGGAACGTGTTGGTGAGCTTTCACTTGCTGTATTTTTTGTATAATGTGGTATGGGTATTCAACTATACATCAACAATGCCTCTAAACTTCTCCTCACTGGTTCATTTGGCAGTTCCCCCATCGTCAAAGCCTCCAACTACTTCTCTCAGAATTGATCGTTTTCTTCGTCCATTCACTTTAAAGGCTGTGCAAGAACTTCTTGGAAAAACTGGTACAGTCGTTAGTTTCTGGATGGATCATATCAAAACTCACTGTTATGTTACTGTAAGTCATGCCTCTCTCTTGCATCAGCATTATTTCTTTTTATTCCTGCTTGTTTTGCATTGGGGACTACTGGCCAACGATTTAAAAAGATATCAATGAGTAGGACCATAGATTACAAAATTGGGAGGAAATATGGCCCTTGCGAGTTGGGAAATGGGATGATATATATGGACTTGCATAACAGTAATAGTTAATGAATTGGAGGAAGAAAATAAGGATCTTCTTGTCCTTTTATGTAGCAAGATCTTCTCCTTTGAGCAAACTGTGTGATGACAGTTAGAGTTGGCTTATACTACTTTTCAAGTGAATATAATTGAATCTTTTAGATTGTTTCTGCATGTATGTTACAAGGATTTTAAAGGCCTGGGGTTCTCATGAGTTTTTGTATTATAGCATAATATTTCCGTATCGTTTTCATGTAACATATCATCTCATGATATATCTCTAATGTTGAGAGGATTAATTTTTTAATTAAGTTTTATACATCTGTTTGTTTTATATTTGCTTAATGCAAGGAGGTAGAGTGTAAATTGGAATTTATAATATTCACCTATAAAGATGCAACATTAACTTGACACAGGTGTAAACAGGGAGGTAGAGGGGTGTGTAGTTTCCGTAACTTCATTATGCTTTTCTTGTACCAGTTTCTGTTTGTATGTTATTGCTTATGCTCAACCAGCTTGTCAAAACTTCTTTATATCCGACTCTCTCTTTTTTCACACTTTTCAAGCTGGCTGTCTTCACAAAACAGCTGCTCTACTTTTAAGTTCAGGTCTATGTATATTTTACCCCATGTCCAGGTGGAATATGCGGGTTTCGATTGCTTTTGTTTATGGGCATTACTATCCCTCTGTTCTTGTATTTTTTTCTTGAAAGTTGCAAGCAATGTCAACGGTTCAATGTTTGACCACAGGACCCTGTCATAAACCCTTCTTTTTGGGTCGTCTTATTCTCATTTATCAAGTTCTTCGTACCCTCTTATCAAGCGATCATGCAAAAAACTTGTACATTTGTGAATTAGATCTTTTGAACTGTATATTGTGTGAAATTTAAATTGATTTGCCTCTTGTATGATTGTGTTGCTGCAGTATTCATCAGTTGAAGAAGCTGTAGAAACTCGAAATGCTGTTTACAACCTCCAATGGCCGGTGAATGGAGGACGCCTTCTCCTAGCCGAGTTTGTGGATCCATCAGAGGTCAAAAGTCGAACTGAAGCTCCGCTACCATCTCCACGAACTCCTGTCACACCTACCCTACCACAACCAACTCCAGCTGCCGCACAACCACCACAGCAGCTTCCTCCTCCACCCCCACTCCCCCTTCCACCTCCACCACCACTCTCTCTTCCACCACAATCAAGAGAACCCACCCTCCCCCCACCGCCCCCACTCCATGAACCACCCATCATGACATTGGACGATCTGTTCAGAAAGACAAGAGCAACTCCTCGAATTTATTACCTGCCGTTGTCCGATGAACAAGTTGCAGCGAAAGTGAAGGGACAGGGGAAAACTGCAAAGCAGTAGGGACCGATTAGACTGCTTAGAATATGAATGTAAGATAATGGTAACAAGTATCATACAATTACGTGTTTGCAGGTCTGCAGGTGTTGCGTTTAGGAAGGAGCAGCGGTGGCTCTCGAGGAGCTCGTTTCGTGATAGATTTAGATGTTTTCCAAGGACTCTCCATTTGTTTAAGAACCCAAACACCCGAAAGTTGAGATCTCGGATCGGAACTAATATTTGCTCAATTTATTTTCTGGACATCGAAACCTTGTTTCTCAAAACGTTGTACCCATGTTTGAGATTACTTTTGTATGCTTAATGGAATTCAGAGAGGTAGCTGCTCCTATCGTCAAGGATTCGCAACATGTATTTAATCAATTTTATAAAATTTAAAGATTTATTTTAAATGAAAAAACTATTAAATTTTTACATTTTGAATGATTAATACTCTGAATTTTCTCAAGTAAATAAACCATCGAACTTTTACTAGTTGGTTAATTGTGACCATGGTTCTTATTGTATGTTTATTGTGGATTTGGTACTTTTGGTATTTAATTTGTCTTGACCATGATTTTTCTAACTAACGACTTTGTTAATTTTGTTAAATCAAGGGTCATTTTAGCCATTTTGCCTAATTTTTGTCCTTTTTATTAAAAAAAGCTATTTTTATACATACATATATATATATATATATATATATATATATATATAGAGGGATGTTATTATACACCCTTTGCCATTTCTACATCCTATACAACCCTCATCTCAACCATTCAATTTTTAATCAATTAATTGTTTCCTAATATAAAGTATTAATCATAATTAATAAACT